TGCTCCTTTCTTTCTGTTTAGGTGTCCCTTTGGCTCCCACCCCTCCCCCAGCATTCCTCGCTTTTGTTTATTCCATATAAATACAAGCGAACGGACCACACTGGTGTTGTTGGTTAGTCCTTCACACATACACATGTACGCAAACACACAGACACAAGGCAGGCACACACATGGACACAAAGAGAGCTGTTGACAGAGCGTGGAGGGTTTGTTAGCAAACTCAACAAATGCAAACATCTGACAGAATAACTTACAAGCAACAGCAGTGAATATTTGATGGACCTCATAAAGACAAGAGGACTCTAGTTTAAATAGTTCTGTGCAATGATTGAGCATGAATCAGGCTGGTTACTGATTATAGCTGGAAGGTTTTAAACAAAACACATCTGAGGAGCTARAGATGCTGACGACAGGTGCGTCTATCTTCTCAAATGGCAGAGAAGAATGAAYGAGAGAACATGATGGAGGAAAGTGCCAAAAAAAGGGAGAAAGATATGTTTTAGGTGGGAGTGGGAAAACGAAGAGGATAACCAGAAGTAGGCTGAGAGACAGGGAGAAGGAAAAAAAAGGAGGGAATCAAGCCAAGAAGTGTCTCTGTGGCTGTGCCAGGTCTCTGGACTAGTCTGTTGTTCAGGGAAACACACAGGAATGTGCAGTTTTCCAGTTTAAGGCAGTTTGATGAAGATCCAGGGTTCTGTTTATGTGGGGGTGTAGAGACTGGTGCAGGAGATGCTATAACATGGAGCTCCATTCAGCTGTTCCTTATGGTTGGCTTTAAAGAGATCTGGCTGTTCTGAAGTGACGTTCTGTGTAAAAGTTCTGAAACATTGTTTTAATACCTGTTGGACATGGCTCTTTGAACTTTCTTTCTGAGATGGACAAACTTTAATCCTGACAGGACTGATGAGCTAATGGCTRCTCCGAGTAARGCTAAGACCAAAGTAGACTGTTTTGCTCCTTTTCCACTAGTGCCACTTAGTGTAGTGTCGGTAGGGTTCGGTATAGTTACAAGCCATTTCCATTAGGCCAGATTCTTGGAACCAGCCCTTTTTTAGTACCTTTGTTGTGGTTCCAAGTGGTCCCAGTCGACACCAAAATGCGACATCAGAACACTGTTCTCACTRATTGGCCAGGGGATGGAGTCACTGGTTGCGTCGAGCTGCCTTTACTACAACAAATTGAGGCACCATTTTTTCAGTTGTAGCAGTGACATTAGTCGTGTTTACATCCAACTTTAATTCAAATTTTTAGCGAATTTTTTACATTTCAAAACTTGTTTGCCAAATGTGTTTCCATCTCTCATTTTGCGCATTAACTCTTTTTTGAAAAAGCCGAAAACCACATCCACAAATCACCCAAAGCACCCACTGGAACTAGACTGGAACGTCAATGGAAAAGCACCCGAACAGACCCGTTCTGACACTGACTGTACCATATCGGGTAAGACAACTACTCAGACAACTTAGCTTTAGCGCTAGCGTTTTGACACTATCACCATATATATGTATTAGCTCAGCGCTACACATTCTCCTCTCGTCACTGAGGTCCTCCATCCACATGACAGAGAGGGGAACGCGAGAACAACTCCCTGCAACTGAAAATATGGATGGAGGACCTCAGTTTAGCTTGTTTGCCGTTCTAGCGCTGAGCTAATATATATAAGGCAATATAGCATCAGTGCTAGCACGAAGGTTAACAGGCTAAGCTGAGGTTCTTCCATGAAGCAGCTCTGTTGTCCTCCATCCACATTTTCAGTTACAGGCTGAGTCATTTCTACCTTCTCCTCTCTGTCAACGCTCTCTGGTTTCATTTAAAAGASTCRATCATCAGATATTGTCCAAGATTAACCTTCAGGGTGGATATAGCTCGCTAGCAGCCACACATTGATGACCTATCCACATCATCATTTACCCAGAATGCTTTGCGTGTAAATAAAATGGCTCCATCCATGTTAAAATATATTTTTAAAAATTTACAAAACTAAACAGCCTACAGTATTTTTACAGTCTTTATTTTACAGTTAAAATATATGTTTCTCAAATAAAGTCTAATGTTACAATTAATCGTGGATCCCCTTAACAGGAAGAAACCTCCAGCAGAACCAGAACCAGGCTCAGGACAGGCGGCCAGCTGCCTCGACTGGCTGAGTTTGTGGGGACAGGATTATAGCTTTTTTTTAGCTTGACATTGTTTTAAGATGGTACAAATCACCTACAGTCTCTGCTCACTCAAACTGCCTGTCAGAATAAAAGTTTTACTCCTCACTATTTGTTGGATTTGTTGTAGGTGTTTCAGTCGGGGTTAAGGCTATGCTTCTTATTTTCCGTGACGGGCAGTTTGAGTGTGTGAGCAAACCAAAACACTTTGTTGCAAGACTTTGATGAAAGCCTTCTCTTGCTGTTTCAACATGTCTCTGGCCCAGTGCACAAGGCATGGACTGTAAAGACATAGTCTGATGAGTTCAGTGTGAAGAACTTGACTGGCCCACAAAGTGACCTGACCTCAACCCCATCCAGGTCCTTTGGGATGAACTAGAATGTTCAACATTAGTACCTGACCTCATACACGCTTTAAGGAATGCATGGCCACAAATTCCCACAGAAACACTCCAAAACCATGGCAGAAGACGGAAAGATGGAGCAGAAAAAAGGGGATCAACTTAAAGAGAAACTAACACCGAGATCCACTAAATTGTGCCTTAAAGTCATATAGCACTATTCATATGCTAATGTTTGACATTTTTGTGTAAATTAGTTATAATCTACAAAATCTGTCATTTTTCTAATTTGCCTTGGGGTGGAGTTGCTTTCACAGGAGTGGGTGGGATTTGGGGAGTTAGTTACAGTTTAAAACAGTCCATGTTATTGTTATTGGGATGGTCAGGTGTGGACAAATATTTCTGTTTATATAGTGTTCCCGTAACAGGTAAGATATTCATATTTAATACTTTTATATAAAAAACATTTCACCATGATCAAAATATACTTTTCTGTCTTTGGAGTGGAAAATGAGTGAAATTTATTTATATAAGGCTAGTACAGAATAGTTTTGATATTGAGACTTTTTTAGTTTCCACTGAAACCTAATGATGATCAGTTCTGTTAGTCATGGAAGAAATTATTCTTTTAAATCAGAGGTTCTCATACTGGGGTTAATTTGTTTTTTATTTTAAAAAATGCATATGGGGAACAATGAACTAGTAAAACAAACACACTAAACCAACCCAATAATAATAATCCCATGACATTTAGGGGTTAAAATGACAGCATGGGATTTATGAGGGGGTCCCTGGAAATGTTTCACCCTTAAAAGGGGTCCCCAGACCCAAAGTTATTTATTATTATTTGTATTTTCCTTTTTATTGTACATAGAATTAAATTTTGTTATTTAAGAAATGAATAAAGTTTGAAAATGTTTATAAAACCTAAAATTCAAACAAACTTGAAGGACTGATGTACTTCCGTTCAAGGAATAAGATTGTTGAATAATCTGGAGAGTGATTTTAAAAATGCTGGTTCAATGTGTTTCTTTAAGAGAATGATAAAAATAAGTTTGTTAAAAGAAATATGAAATGGTATAATG